GCAGGGGGAGGAACTCGCTGTCCCCACCCCCGGGACAAAGTGTCCCCACCCCCGGGACAAAGTCCAGGGCCGGGCCAGGGTGTTTGTCTAGCCCAGCCGAGCGTTGCAGGGCAGGAAGAGGAGGGAGAGTGGGCACTGGGGGAGGGTCACACTGCTGGGCTGGGGCTGCCCCCCAAACACCACGGGGCCCTGCTCCCAGGAAGCCCAACAGCTCCCTGCTCCTGGGAAACACAATTTTCCCTGCTCCTAGGGAACCCTACAGCTCTCTGCTCCCAGGGAGCCCAACAAAGTTTCCCTGCTGTCAGTTAAGCCCAACAGTTTTCCTGCTCCCAGTAAGCATGAGTTATCCTACTCCCAGTAAGCCCAGCAGTTCCCCTCCTCCCAGTAAACACCAGTGCTGGCCCTTTTCCAGGTGGGGGTGCCTGGAGCCAACTTCCCTGAGCTGTTTATCTTGGGAGGGGGGGGGGAAACCACCTCTCCTTGCTTCTTCCGGCAGCTTCTCTCCCTCTTTCCTCCCTCCCTCTCCCCTCCTCCTTCCCTCCCCCCTCCTTCCCTCTTCCCTCCCTCTTCTCCCCTCCTTCCCTCTTTCCTCCCTCCCTCCCTCCCTCTCTCTTCCCTCCCTCCCAGAGGCTTTTCCCACTGGGATCAGACCATCCTGGCCTGTCAGTTGCATTTTTCCACCCCTGGGTGGGTTCCCTCAGGAAGGAGTGTTTATCTTTTCCAAGCAGGCTCCTCCCTGCTTACTCATTTCTTTTTTTGCGCCGGCGGAGGGGAGGGCCAGGTGAGTGCAGGGGGAGGAACTCGCTGTCCCCACCCCCGGGACAAAGTGTCCCCACCCCCGGGACAAAGTCCAGGGCCGGGCCGGGGTGTTTGTCTGGCCCAGCCGAGCGTTGCAGGGCAGGAAGAGGAGGGAGAGTGGGCACTGGGGGAGGGTCACACTGCTGGGCTGGGGCTGCCCCCCAAACACCACGGGGCCCTGCTCCCAGGAAGCCCAACAGCTCCCTGCTCCTGGGAAACACAATTTTCCCTGCTCCTAGGGAACCCTACAGCTCTCTGCTCCCAGGGAGCCCAACAAAGTTTCCCTGCTGTCAGTTAAGCCCAACAGTTTTCCTGCTCCCAGTAAGCATGAGTTATCCTACTCCCAGTAAGCCCAGCAGTTCCCCTCCTCCCAGTAAACACCAGTGCTGGCCCTTTTCCAGGTGGGGGTGCCTGGAGCCAACTTCCCTGAGCTGTTTATCTTGGGAGGGGGGGGGGAAACCACCTCTCCTTGCTTCTTCCGGCAGCTTCTCTCCCTCTTTCCTCCCTCCCTCTCCCCTCCTCCTTCCCTCCCCCCTCCTTCCCTCTTCCCTCCCTCTTCTCCCCTCCTTCCCTCTTTCCTCCCTCCCTCCCTCTCTCCCTCTCTCTTCCCTCCCTCCCAGAGGCTTTTCCCACTGGGATCAGACCATCCTGGCCTGTCAGTTGCATTTTTCCACCCCTGGGTGGGTTCCCTCAGGAAGGAGTGTTTATCTTTTCCAAGCAGGCTCCTCCCTGCTTACTCATTTCTTTTTTTCTTCCCGTATTTTGATGATTTTTTTTTTTGTCTTCTTTTGGCCCTGCCCACCCTGGTCACCTCCCTTTTCCTTAACTCCTCCTTCTCCTTCCCAGGAATCCCAGCCCTCCCCTCTGGCTCTCTTGGCCGCCACCTGCAGCAGGATCGAGTCTCCCAACGAAAATTCCAACAGTTCCCAGGGCCAGCAGGGTGGGAACAGCGAGCTGGACCTCACAGCTGCTGCAGCCCAGATTGCTCAGTCTGCCAACGGGTGGCAAATCATCTCCACGGGTTCCAGCACCCCCACAGCTTCCAAGGAACAGGGAAGCAACGGGAACAGCAACGGCGGAGACGCCTCCAAGAGCCGCCCGGTGAGCGCGGGGCCCTACGTGGTCACCACGGCTTCCAACCTCCAGAACCAGCAGGTTCTGACTGGTCTGCCAGGAGTTCTTCCCAATATCCAGTACCAAGTCATTCCCCAATTCCAAACCATCGACGGGCAGCAGCTCCAGTTTGCTACCACCCCTGCCCAAGTGCAGCAAGATGCTTCAGGGCAGCTCCAGATCATCCCTGGTACCAACCAGCAGATCATCACGAGCCGAGCGGGGACCAGTAACCTCATTGCCATGCCCAACCTGCTCCAACAAGCTGTCCCCATCCAAGGGGTGGGCTTGGCCAACAACAGCCTCTCTGGGCAAGCCCAGTACGTGGCCAATGTCCCCGTGGCCCTCAATGGCAACATCACCTTGCTGCCTGTCAACAGCGTGGCCACCAGCCTGACCCCCACCTCCCAGACGGTGACACTGAGCGGCTCGGGGTCACCAGACAGCAGCTCCCAGCAGCCGGACCCCCACCTCCCAGAGGGTGACACTGAGCGGCTCGGGTTCACCAGCCAGCAGCTCCCAGCCTGTCACCTCGGGCTCTGCCAGCAGTTCCACCACCACAGCCACTTCTCAAGCCAGTTCTGGGGCTTTTTTTACCAACGCCAACAGTTACTCCACCACCACCACCACCAGTAACGTGGGCATCATGAATTTTTCCACCAGTTCCACGGTGGGAACCAACGTCCAGGCACAGACACCCCAGAGGGTCAGTGGGGTCCAGAGCTCAGACTCTTTGCAGAGCCAAGTTTCTGGGGTGGCTTTGCAACCAGGTCAGCAGAAAGAAGGGGATCAGGCTCAGCAATCCCAACAGCAACAAATCCTGATCCAATCACAACTTGTCCAAGGAGGGCAGACAATCCAAGCCCTCCAAACCACCTCGATCTCTGGCCAGACCTTTGCCACTCAAGCCATCTCCCAGGATGCCCTCCAGAACCTTCAACTTCAAGCTGTCCCAAACTCCGGGCCCATCATCATCCGAACACCCACGGTTGGGCCCAACGGGCAGGTGAGCTGGCAGACCATCCAGCTCCAGAACCTTCAAGTTCAGAACCCCCAGGCCCAGACAATCACCCTGGCCCCCATGCAGGGAGTCTCTTTGGGGCAGAGCACCAGCACCAGCACCACCCTCACCCCCATCGCCTCCCTCCCCAGCGGCACCGTCACCGTCAACGCCGCCCAACTCTCCTCCGTGCCAGGCCTCCAGACTATTAACCTCAGTGCCTTGGGAGCTTCTGGAATCCAGGTCCATCAGCTCCAAGGGTTGCCACTGGCCATAGCAAACACCACAGGTGAGTTCCTCTCGGGTTCTTCTTCAGGAGGGCAGGATGAGGAAGTGGAAGGTGGGACCTCATCGTGCGTCGTGGGGACTCCGCGGGGTTTTGGGATAGGGCTGGAGGTGGTGATGGTGGCAAACTGAGGTGGCAAAGTATGGGGAACTGTTCTTCTTCCCCACCTAAGTCTAAACAAAATGGCAAAGTCTAAACAAGGTGGCAAATTGAGGTGGTACACTGAGGTGGTGAGTGGGCCAGTGCTTCTGGTGGCCACGGGAGGGGAAGTGCTGACCCTCTGCTGATGGCCAGAAGTTGATTTGCTGAGGGCATGGAGTGGTAGGAATGGTTTAAACTGGAACTGGGGAGATTGAGATTGGATGTGAGGAGGAAATTCTTGGGGAAAAATATCTGCCCTTGGAGTGTGGGGGTAGAGAGGAGCTTCTTGGAGCAGCTCTGCTCTGGAGCCAGGCTGGGAGAGTTGGGGTGTCCAGCCTGGAGAGGAGAAGGCTCTGGGGAGACCTTAGAGCAGCTTCCAGTGCCTGAAGGGGCTCCAGGAAAGCTGGGGAGGGACTTGGGCCAAGGGCAGGAGGGATGGGATGAGGGGAAAGGGCTTGAAACTGGCAGTGGGGAGCTGGAGGTTGGAGCTGAGGAGGAACTTGTTGGCTGGGAGGGGGGGGAGAGCCTGGGCCAGGGAAGCTGTGGCTGCCCCATCCCTGGGGGTGTTGAAGGGCAGGTTGGCTGGGGCTGGAGCAGCCTGGGCTGGTGGGAGGGGTCCCTGCCCATGCAGGGGGTGGGACTGGATGGTCTTTAAGCTCCATCCACCCCAACCAGTCTGGAATTCCATGATTTGGGGCAGTTTCTGATCCAGTGAGTTCACTGGAGGGGCTGATTGTGTGAAAGGAACCAAGAGCTGCCTGGGAAGCAGCCGGGGGGGGGACACACGGGCCACCCCTGTGGTCAAAGGTGGCTTTGTGTGGGACCACGGTGGGGGTTTCTGGCGGGGGGTGGAGATTGGAGAGCCCACCAAAGGAGTCCCAGCCTTCTAAAGGTCTGGGATAACTCCCACCTTCCTGTCTTCCCAGTGGAAAACAAGCAGCCACAGAGCCCGGGGGGGAATTTCCTCGCGGGGGCGGAAGAACCGGGCTCTTTAAGTGTATATTTAGCTCCAAGTTGGGTGCTGGGGTGGGACACTGTGATCTCATCCTGCCCAACACGGCTGCTCTGCCTCTCCTGCCTCAACTCCCCCTGGATCAGCTCCCTCAGCTCCCAAAATCTTCCCCCCCCAACCCAGTTCCCAGATTGGGAACTGGAACCCACCTCCCTTCCCTCTGAGAAGGTCCAAGGGGGCTAAAAGCTCTTCTGGAAGGACAGAGCTGAGCAGGAGCTTTTCTTGCCTTTCCCAGTATTTTTCCTCTTCCTTTATGTTTTTTTCCTCCCCCCCCTTTTTTTTTTAGCCCTGGCTGAAGAGCCAGTTGCTCGATTTAGTCACAGCTGAGAAGCAGCAGGGGGAGAAAAAAAAAAAACCCAAACCAAAACAACAACGTTGCTCAATCCGACCTGGCTCTTCCTTCTTGGGAAAGGAGGAGGAGAAGGAGGTGGCCCCACTCCCAGGGCTGTTTTGCAGCATTATTTTGGGCTGTTGCTCCATCAGCTCAGCTCCCTGGCAGCCCCCAGGGTCATTCCAACCCTCCCCACCTTGGGGATTAGTCTGATCCTTGGATTTTCCTGGGTGGAAACACCCTCTGGTGCTGGGGGTTGGAGGCAGAGGGGAGTGCCCGGCGTGTGGCTTCTTTTCTAGGTGGGAATGGGGGTGGGTGGAGGGTCCATCAGACTTTGGCCCACCTGGGTTTGGTGGGATTTCTTCTCCTCCGGCCCCGTGTGTTTTGGGAGGATTGGGAGTATCCACAGGGATGGTTCCTAGTTCCTGTATTAGTGCCTGGCTCGGCCCTCAGGAGGTGGGGCAGGGAGGAACTGCTGCAGAGACCACCCATCCAACCCGCCTCCTTCTCCTTCTCCTCCTCCTCCTCCTCCTCCAGCCCAGCAGGGTGCTCAGCTCCTGATCCACCGCTGAGGGCTCTGCCCAGGGCCTGGCCCTGTTCCTCCACTGGCAGGATGTGACGTTCAGGCCACTCTTTTTGGTGGTGTTACCTTGGAAAAAAAGCCAAGTTCAGGTTTCCTGAAGGCTTGTGAAGTTGCCCGATTTAGTCCAAGCTGGAAAGCAGCAGGGGGAGAAAAAAAAAAACCCAAACCAAAACAACAACGTTGCTCAATCCGACCTGGCTCTTCCTTCTTGGGAAAGGAGGAGGAGAAGGAGGTGGCCCCACTCCCAGGGCTGTTTTGCAGCATTATTTTGGGCTGTTGCTCCAGCAGCTCAGCTCCCTGGCAGCCCCCAGGGTCATTCCAACCCTCCCCACCTTGGGGATTAGTCTGATCCTTGGATTTTCCTGGGTGGAAACACCCTCTGGTGCTGGGGGTTGGAGGCAGAGGGGAGTGCCCGGCGTGTGGCTTCTTTTCTAGGTGGGAATGGGGGTGGGTGGAGGGTCCATCAGACTTTGGCCCACCTGGGTTTGGTGGGATTTCTTCTCCTCCGGCCCCGTGTGTTTTGGGAGGATTGGGAGTATCCACAGGGATGGTTCCTAGTTCCTGTATTAGTGCCTGGCTCGGCCCTCAGGAGGTGGGGCAGGGAGGAACTGCTGCAGAGACCACCCATCCAACCCGCCTCCTTCTCCTTCTCCTCCTCCTCCTCCTCCTCCAGCCCAGCAGGGTGCTCAGCCCCTGATCCACCGCTGAGGGCTCTGCCCAGGGCCTGGCCCTGTTCCTCCACTGGCAGGATGTGACGTTCAGGCCACCCTTTTTGGTGGTGTTACCTTGGAAAAAAAGCCAAGTTCAGGTTTCCTGAAGGCTTGTGGGGACCCACCCAGACCCCAGGCTCAGTGGGATGTAAGTCCAGGACCTCAGAAGGAGACCACAGAGGGGACAGGAGCTGCTGGCACTGGTTGTTGATGTTATTTGTGTGTTAACTCCAGGCTGGAGAAGATTGTAGTGAAGGAGGTGCTGGAGACAGAGTTGGGGTGTCCAGCCTGGAGAGGAGAAGGCTCCAGGGAGACCTTAGAGCAGCTTCCAGAGCCTGAAGGGGCTCCAGGAAAGCTAGGGAGGGACTTGGGCCAAGGGCAGGAGGGATGGGATGAGGGAGAGGGTCTTGGAAATGGAAGTGGGGAGCTGGAGGTTGGAGCTGAGGAGGAACTTGTTGGCTGGGAGGGTGGGGGGAGCCTGGGCCAGGGAAGCTGTGGCTGCCCCATCCCTGGGGGTGTTGAAGGGCAGGTTGGCTGGGGCTGGAGCAGCCTGGGCTGGTGGGAGGTGTCCCTGCCCAGGGAGGGGGTGGGACTTTCTTTAACATCCCTCCCACCCAACTCATTGTGAGCCTCCCTGGTTCTGTGGTTCTAGCTGGGTCTGTTGCCCACAGTGATGGTTCCATTTGTCCCCCTGTCCCCCCAGGACCTCACCCTGGCCCCATGTCTCCATCCCCATCAAAGCCTCATGGCTGAGCCATCCTCTCCCTCCTCAGGGGGGCTGCAAACATGGAGCCCTCCCACCCCAAGCTCTCTGATGCCCATTGCAAGGAGCAAATCTCCCCTGCTCTCCAAATCCCTGAACGTTTTCCAGGAGGATCCTCCCCTTCAGCTCCAGCCATGTCCCCCCCTGCCCCACAACCTCCTCTGCTCGAGGCAAAGAGTCGAGAGGGTTGTTTGGGTTTGGGGTTTTTTTTGCCTTGGTTTGGGTTTGAGCAGAAAAAGCTCCTCTGCTTCCGAGGGAGGGGAATGGAAAAACAAAACCTCACCCAGGGTGTTTTTTTTGGGAGGGCAGGTTGGCAGCTGGGCCTCCCAGGGCCTTGGTTTCACCACGTGTTCATGCAGCCCAGCTGCCTCCAGGCCTTGCAGCCACCACATTTCTTACCACTTCCCTTCCAATCTGCCCTAGTTCAGCTTCAAAAAGCTTGTTCTTTGGGTTTAAAAATCCTCCTTTTGGGGCTGAGAGCTTCTCCTGCCTGCAGGAATCTCCTTTCTCCCCCTCCTGAGCTGTGGGAAGAGGAGGGTTGGAGTCCTCCAGGTTGTGCCTTTCAGCCCCTCCTCAGGGCTGGGGGTGAGAAGCTGCTTTTTGGTTTCCTTTCTGTAATGAAAAGTCCCCCTGAGGTCGTGACAGCTGAAAAAAAAAGGGTCTTCAAAGAAGAATTCAGTTGGGTTTTGGCTCCTGGGGGTGGGAGGTGGAGCCTTGGGTGCTCTGAGCTCATTTAACTCAGCTGGGGTTTGTATTCATGAGGTGTTGGTCTCCTGGTTGGTTTGTAGGCTCCTCCTTGGTAGAATTAGCTCTGGTGGCAGAGACAGGAGAAGGGCTGTGACCCCAAGGGGCTGGTATGTGGGCAAACAGGCCTTGCAGGTGGCTCTGATCCCAGGGGAAGGTCCCAGGGAGCTAGAGGTGGGAATTTCCTCCCCTGGCATCACCCCAAAAAACCCGCCCCTGGCCTGGGGTGCCGCCCTCCCTGGGCGGGCGGGTGGGTGGGCAGGACTGTCCTCCCCTCCCCTCCCACCCTGGAATGAAGGGCTAAAAAGGAGGGGTTTTTGGGTGGAAAGGGTGCAGAGGTGGGTGTTGTGACAGCCAGCAGGGTGTCCCCAGGGTGCAGCGTCACCGCAACACTCAGGGAGGGGACACGTCCTGCTCGAGCCCTCGGGGTGCAGAGGTTTTTGTGTGTGGGGGGTTGATTTAGAAATGTTTTCAGGCCTGGGGTTTCTCTTCCCCTTTCTGAGGGAGCTTTAGGAAGGAGAAAAGGGCCTTTTTTTTTTTTTTAGCCCCGTGTCTGGGTGGTTTTGTCAGTGAAGTGGTTCAGTCCCCCCCCCGGG